TCACAGTAAGGCCATAAATAATTGTATGCAGTCATCAAACATTGTGTCGAAAGCAGCGATGGAGGCCAACAGAAGTTGTGTGAATAATAAAACATGCTCAACAGATGGAAAAATGACAGAAAAAAACAACAGGGACCACATTCCCCTGTTAATACAAATGAAATGTATTCATTTATTTATTGCCACATCAGCAACTTATGGCTATTTCATGGCAAAATCGATATACATAAAAATAATACATGATAAAAAGTCGTATTACAATAAAAAGTTACTTAGACAAATATATAGAATAGAAATAAATAAAATTCACACAAAAATATGTTCATAGTTAAACATGGTAAATTTTGGTAAACAATTTAAGATTCTTCCTGGTGTTACCTTTTTAAAAATATCCAAAGTATTCTCCTTATAAAAATTGACAAACGGTTTTCAAACTTCTCCATTCCAACAAAATATGTTTCATGGTAGGAGCAGCTTGGCAGTAGTTACATTTAGGTGGTGCTTTGTTATTCAGTAAATACAAATGAGTCAACCTAGAATGTCCAATTCGACATCTAGTATAGACAGTTTGTTTGTGCCTGGTCTCAAAATTATAATTTGCAAAGCGTCTTATATTTATTTTGGCAAAATGGAATTTATAATTGAATAATACTTCAGTGGGCTTCTTGTGGTCATTGGCAATGCAACAACTCTGATCATACAACAGGGCTCGAAATTGCGACCATTTTGGTTGCATATGCGCCCGAAATTTCATCTATGCGACCTCAAAATATATTTGGGAGCATTTCTGCGAGTGGTAAAAATTGTTGTGTGCGACCAGTTTTTACTGCAAAATGTTCACCACATGCGCGGATTCGGGAGACATTTACTCAGAATGCATCTCTAAGCTCTTTGTCTGCACTTGAAACGTGAAACGCAGCGCTCAGGAATGGTTTAAAACAGTTGTCATGTCAACTTGCTGCAGTAATCAAACCCAAGTCCGTAATGCTTGCCCCGCCTTCATGCTCTTCTTATTGGCCCACCACTGCTCTAGCACTGAACGCGAATGATTGGTTAATATCAGCTGTCAATCACTCAGTGCATTCTGTGGCTTCGGATGACAGATAGCTACTACCGTGAAAACCTGTAAAGCGCTGAAGATGAGAATGAAGATAACACTGACAGATTTTGTTTTAGAAACCATGGCATCTAAAGTTACAAATAATGACATCTTACTAGTGATCATGTGCTGAATGTTAGTCCACCATCTACACTTTTCCAAGAATAGAAGATTTCCAGTGGCTTCAAGTCCGCCATGAAAAGTCAGTGGGATGGAATTTTCAGGTAACTGTTTGCCACATCTAGCACGAGAGCTTCTGTTTAATCCTTCATATAATAGCCAGATGCTGTCCGCCGTGCAAGTGGCAGATGTCAAATTACACCACGTACACTATCGCAAACATGCATCGCTACTCCTAAAAAGACAGATATTGCTATTAACACGTATGCATATAATAAGGTACAGTATGTGTCAAAAACATCAGTGCAATATCAGACAGCACTTGTGAGAACACCACAGTTATATCGTTAACAGATTCATTCAAGCAGTGCGTGCAGGGCCGGTGAGCGCTCCGTGCTTTGGTCACTCAGTTATGTTATAAAATGTATTTTCTTGTGATAACGGGATTTCGTTGAGACATATTTTCCTCATGCTTGCATATATATAATATTTATTTATTTATTTTTATTTTTTGCTTGTTAGTTTGATTAGTGTTGATTTCAAATACAATAAATATGTTTGTATAAAACTTGTAGTAATGGTGCTCATAATTGGTGGGTGCGACTAAATTTTGGCTGATGCACCTAACTTTTTAAAGTTAGGAGCAACGGTGCTACCAAGCAAAAAAGTTAATTTCGAGCCCTGTACAATGTGCCTTGATCAACCATTACAAGAATATTTTAGGGTTTAGGGCCACGTAAAGGCTAATGCTAGAAGGATGAAGTCAGTTTTAAATAGACCATTAGCCAATAGTCTTCTTCTTTTAGTGGATGATAATAGAAGTGGTCTTTTTATCATACACGTGCACCACATATGCTTAGGAAATGCCTGGCAAAGCTGAACCAAGGATAAAAATAATTTCTTTTGAGATGGATAGTTCACAGGCCCTCTGCTGACATCCATCCACATCATAGTTATTGGGCATAAATGCACACATGTTTAAAGCTGAGATAACAATGTACTCCCTTTTATTTATTAATGTGATCAAATGGACTTGCATTTTATTGTATATTAAGGAGCCACACAAAAAACACTCCAGTCTTGCTGATCTGCGGCTTTCACTCTTATTTCTGTGATGTAGAGAGATAAGATGAAATTAAATGGACAGGCAGACAGGTCTGCTACCCTTTCCAGTCTGCTGTACAGACCCAAAACCAGCTGGATCAAGCTCTCGGATAGTCAGAGACTCATCTGGTCCCCACAGCAGCTGCAGTAAAGTGAAAGAACTACGCACTACATAGGTTCCCTGCTGTCAGACAAGATCCAAAAGCATGCCATCAGAGAGAGAGAACCAAAACTGAACAAAAGAAATGGAAAAAGTGGGAAATGAGCTCAGTAGATCAAAAAGAAAGAGAGAAGTTGCTGACAGAACTACTAATAATTCAACTTCACCGACTAGTGGATACAACATAGCACATTCACACAAGTTAAAATGTATTGGTAACCACAATGTAAAAGTCAGGTTCACAAATGATTTTGTTTCTTTTACAATAGCCACTAAATAAGATCATGTAATATTTGTAAAAACTTGACATGTCATGGACAAGACAAAACATGTCAGAATACTGTATATCAGGTCGGCACAATATATCATTTCACCATCGATATCACAATGCGATCATTCGCAATAGCCACATCTGTAATGTCAAGTTGAGCTTCAGTTTATTCAAAAACTTTAGTCGCATTATAACTGACCAGTGATCAATAACCATATTGTTGAGTGATTGTGAAGCTTAACCCTAATGGAGTGAAAGAATGCTTGTTTGCTTTGTTTTAAAGGCCTATAACCAAGTACAAGTACTTATAACAATAAAAATTCAATGCATTTCACTTTAATGGAATGAAGTCTATGCAGTTTTATTTGCTTACATTTAATTGTTCAACTTATACTCAAATACAGTTAGACTCATCAAAAATGTATTAATTAAATTATGAAGATTATCTGGCCTACAATATAATACCAATGAATATGAAATTATGGGTTCTTTCCAAATTGAGCTAGTCAAGTGATTTGGTGAAATAATTCTATTCATATTGCAATAAATTTCGCAGAAAAACAAAATACTGCAATGTGAGAATTTTCCAATATCATGCAGCACTATTGTAAATGTTGCTTTCCAACTAAACATCGCTTTAACAACATGCAAGATATCATTGAGAAGGCAAAGTGTCTTTTGCACTGGCTGTCTTCTCATTAGAAATAATCAACCTTTACTCTGTACATGTAGCATTATTACACGCATCAGCAGCAATATCAGCAGCAGTATTGTTCTCCAGCCTCCAGCGTAGACTGCAACTCTGCTCAAGAAGTTCGGCCAGATGAGAAATGGTCATGCCCAACTGAGCCTGGTTTCTCTGTTTAAGTTTTTTATTTCCCCTTCACTTTCGTCAATTGATGGAGTTTTTTTGTGTTGTAACACCAGATGTTTACAAATCACCACAACACACTACATCAAACAGACTAAAGCAAAGTTGATTTTAAGTAGTCTGAATATGGCATGAACTATGCAAGCAGTACGCTCTCTTGAAATGCAAAACCAACACACTATTATGTGTATTTTGATTTTCAAACAAAAGCATTTTGACTGTAGAGAACATCCGAAATTTACGAATCAACTTCTCAGGAACAGGTATAAATCTTTAAATATGACAGCATGTTAAACCACACACTTCCTCATGGGAATGATTTGTGTAACAGTTGTACAGGACTTTACCCAATAAATAAAAAATTACCCGAAACTGACATAAAATGTAGCAAAAGGTAGTTAACTTTAAAACTTTTACTAATACTAAAAACTTTAAAACTTTTACTAATAAAGAACTCACTTTCGATGTATATTCTGCCCTGCCTGGTTAATTTCTTACCTACTGAGTCTACTTATAATAGGGCTATTTAAAAGCCTGCTTGATTCTGGCTATTGCATCAACATCAATATCGAGGCTTGATAGAATTGATTCTCATGAATGCACAAACTGACTAAATGTATACCTTGAATGGAATGCAACAAGCTGTGTGCTCTTTGTCTAAGGTAGTTATTTGTAAGACCTGCACCATGTAATCAGCCTCTCATTGTTTATGTTGGTATAAAACCAAATAAATGACTGCCTAAACGTTCAGGGTCAAAAAGCTTCAAACCATAATGCTTAACAAAAATGACACACTGAAAAGCAACAAGTTCAGATAAACACAGCTGCACAACAACATCAATCTGTATATGCTAAATTATAAACACAACCGTTTCATTTCCAGCCCAAGCTCATATGTGAATCATGTGTTTAGTCAGAAAACAGGTGTAAACCCAACACATGCGCTTCATTCTGAAATAAACTAGAAACAATGGGTTCAGCAGAGACACCTTCAGAGAGTGACAGACACCTGGACTAGTCTCACATCTCCTCTCGACTTCATTCATTACCACCATCACTGAACACACTGTAACGCCGCCACACAGCCCGTTCAAGCAAAGTCAGAGTGTGGCAGTCATGAGAAAACACTCCCCCTGCGCGGTGCCTTAACACACACTCGCGTGCCGGACGGCTGTGTGCTCAAAGAGGCAAAACTCCTCCGATAAAAGAATGGAAACATTACAGGAGCAAACAGCAGCATCACATGCGCACTTCAAATGAACACACAGCACCAACCAGCGCATGCAATACCGCCGCGGACGCACTGAACGGTGGCTTATAAACTCCACAACTACATGTGCTGCTTGGCGAACTGAGAGAAAACTACAAGCGATACCTTTCTCCTCTTTTCCCTCTCACTGTCATCCGATCTTTTCATGTTCCTGAAGTACTGTTTACGCTGCCTCGGTTTCATAGCGCGCAGCGCTGGGTTATGTAGTCTTGAGAAGTGTGCCGTTTTCTTGTGAAATTATAGTGAGTAGATTTAAATATGAAATAAGCAATGTTTATAATGGTGTATGACACGTGCATGGCAATAAACGGCGTGTTGTTGTTTTATGTCAGCGTCTTGTTCTTTAGGTCCTTCCCAGTATTACGTTAAGAACTACGTTTCCCAGAATCCTTGCGCCAGGAAAGCCACGCTTGAAATTTGAGTCAAACCGGAAGTGGATATAGGTGCTTCTCACTTGTGGTAAAGTGGCGAGTTTGAAATAGTGTGCTCTTGCATTCTTGAAGTCATATTTTTAGCGAATTGAAGGAATTATGTACTAAATATACAGAAAGTGCATATTAATAGCTTATGGAGGTACCCTGCTGTGAGTAATAGAAATGCAGCACATGAAAAGTGCTCAGGTATTATTCTCTTGTCTTTTAGATATACAGTATATAAGCATTTCATGTTATGACATGTTAAAACTATATCATTGCTTTTGTTATTGAGACCAGGCTTTGAAAGTACATCAAGAGTAGGCTATACAAATAAATACATTAGGCCATTTTCACAGATATTTATATATTATGGTAAATATGTTTGTACATGTCAGTGTACTTAAACATTGTTTATATATATATATGTGTGTATATATATATATATATATATATATATATATATATATATATATATATATATTATATAAACACAATTTTTTTTGATAAACACTTAAAATATCTTGGCACAGTAAACATCTCAAACTAAATAATTAAAATAAATCACTGACCTCTGCTGTCTTCGTTACTTTTAAAAACACTTTGGAGATCTTTCTTTTCTTTGTGTATAAAGGCACTGCACTGCTCAGCTCTTAGCATGCTTGGATGTTGGCTTATAAGCGATTTGTTTTTCAGATGTTGAATCGTGGGCTGACCGATAGCTTTTGATGTGGAGATAATGTAACCAGAGCCGGATTAACCAATGGGCATTATGGGCACAGGCTCAGGTACCCGTGCGCACTAGAGGCCCCTGCGAGGGGGAAAAAATTGTCAATTTTGGAGTGTCTGTTTAGGCTAAATGCAATTAGCGCAGCTTGTTGGAGTAAGCTAGTCAAGCAATTCACGCCCATCACCGTTTGATTGACAGAGACAACATAACCACAGACAGCAGCGTGAGTGGCGTCGCTCGTAAAGCGCATGGCAACATGTTTTGACGTGATCGATTATGAACCCGGTTTCGAATCCAGCGTCTTATGAACAAGTTCTTCTTTTTTCCCCCACTACATATCAGATTTTGCCTACTCATTAGGAATCATTAGGAAGACAAGTGGGAATCCTTAAAATATACATTTATTACTGCTTCGGTGAACTTGAACAAGTAAATTAAAATCCATTAATTTTTACTAGTTGTATTAGTATTTTTTTTTATCAAAGTATGCTTTAAATGCTTTAAAAAATAAATTATATCTTTGTGGACATGAAATATATGTACAGCATATCATTTATTTAAAAAATGCGGGCAATACATTATAGATTAATTTTATTTTTAAAAAATTATATTAATCTTATTTTTTAATTCAACTATGATGGTATAAGTGTGCGGCTAGGTAGGGGGCCTTCAAGACATTGTGCCCAGGGGCCTATTATATTATATAAATTCTCTGAATTCTTAATCCAGGCCTGTCTGTAACCCTAAAAAATGTAATGAAATAGTCATAAAAGCTTAAATAAACTGTAGGTACAGTATAACAGAAAATTTTGGCGGTGTGACAGTGGTAAACCTTGAAACTGGTTATCAAGCCATTTAGTGTGTGTATGTGTGTTCAGTAATGTTCAAGAAGAACTCTAAACATTATTGGGACTAGGTTTTGTAAAATTTTGACACTTGATATAAAAAAAGATAATTTAATTTGAACATATGAATCAGATTTCGCCAAAATATATATTTTATATTAAAGGCCCAATTAAAACACACCGTCCTCCTACAATCAGATATAATTATGATTGTCTTGAAGCCAATGTGACCCAGTGATTGCACGTGGGTGCAGTTTGTTTTGACAATGGGCTAATTAACATCAGAGTGTAAATTAATAAGATAAGATTACACCGTAATTAGGTGAAATAATATAGCTGAGTTGAAACAGAGCAGCTTAGCCACTGTTTCTACTCTCCTGAGGTTTAGCCTTGCCTTCAGTGAATGGAAATCAGAAACAGAGCTTTGCAGCTCCTACAAAAATAGTCACCGTGCTTTGAGCATATTCCAAAAAGTCAGCCTTGCCAGGTCTCCTACAACCTCCTCTCCAGCTTTTGCCCAGGTGCTGTACAGCTGAAGACAGAAGGGCCCCAAAGCAGGATATTCTATTTTCCAAAAACACCACTTTGAGCTGTAATAGAATATGTAGCAGCATTTGTGTATGACATGGACATAACCCCCTCTGAGCGTCTGAGGTCAACAGATATCTCGTAATGCATGTGAAGCGGTGTTGAAAAGCGCTCCGCTGGTTCCCAGTTTCAGCCGAGGACAAAAGGACCGGCTCTGTGAAAGATATACAGGCACGAGCCCCGCGGAGGGCCAGGGGGGTATTAAAAGGTTTCGAAACACCTGCTATGTATTAGCATTACAGACTTTGATCAGTGTCTTCATTAGACTTCTTTGTAATCTCTCTTCTTTTATGATAGGGCCGACCGAGGCGAGCCTGGTACGCAGATTGAACACATGTGTTTTCTTCACCTGTCTTGTAAAAAGCTCAAAGCGCTCATACTTTCAAAGATTTCAGTATCTCTGTCATCTTGTTGCAATAAACACGAGGGCTCTTTTGATTCCTATTTATAACCTACATTTCCGCCCTTCTCTTTTAGCTTCGGAGGGAAATATGTGTTTGAAAAATACCTTGAGCAAAAGTGGCTCCATATGGATATAAGAGTATAAGCACATGTGTCTACGGGGGATTCTTTTGTAAGCTAATGGAACGGAAATTATTATTCTGTCATAGCTTTTTTAGGAAACAAAGGTTATGTCTGTTTATGCTTCACATCCACTCATTCAATTAATGTTGCTTTGGTGTGTGCGTGTTAAACCATTCTTCCTATATTACATCTGTCAGTCAAGTCTCACCAGCGGGACTTCAGTGAGGCGGATTGTGTCTTCAGCCGGCTCCGCGTCCAATCATTCCTCTCTCATCGTGTTCAAGAAGACTTTTAATACGTGATCAGCAACTTAAACGCAATATGCAGGGTAGCATGCTTTCAGATGTGGTACACGCTCGGGTTCAAGGAAAAAAAAAAGTGAGACAGGAAACTTTGAACTCCTGCAGCTCATCAAATCCTCCTTGTCTTTTGTCTGGCCAATTCTCTGTTCTCACTTTTCACCATGGGGGATGTTATGTGTTATTTTGCAGTGCATCGACAGCGGATGACCCTCCGACGGGCCTGTGTTTTACCCCCGCAAATATAATAATCATGCATAAAAAGAAAGAGAAAGCACTGGGCTGAAATCAAAGGTGAAAAGGAGCCTTGTGCCAGAAAAACAATATGGAACATTAAAGACAAATTCAGTGACCATTGTGCTCTGCTCATATATTAAAACCAGAACATCCTACGCGGTTTGGAAAACAGCTTGTAAGTAAAAGCAGTCTCTCCTTTGAATAATAATAATAGGTTTCCTTTTAAACACATAGGGCCACCTATACTTTAATGTAGCACCGTCAAGTTGTGATGTGGCTTATTCTAAAGAGGTGGTAAAAACACAGTAATGGGGGTCAGACGCTGAGGCTGTTGTTCACTGTTGCTAAAGACCAATTTCGTCCTTCCCACATCCTGTCCGTTAGCATTTTCTCAGTGTCCTCCATGGTGTGCCTTGGAGAAAAGGGAGGCCTTTGAGTTTTATTTGTATTGAGTGGGCATATGGAACAGGCATGCGCCTTACCGTGCCCTAACCTTCAATGATAAGCTGTAGGAAACTGTTATTTGTCAGTGCTATAAAGGAGATTGCTGCCCAGTGGTTTCAATTAACTTCAAAGCACTCTTCCCAGGCAGTAATAGTTATATCAAAACCTGAACTGTATTATTTAGGTTCCACACCGGAGCGCTCAGAATGATTATGCACCCTTTTCAAAAGAGATTTTCTTTTCTTGCTGACTTTATGCATTCCTGCCTCTCGATGGGATTTTTCTTTTCTTCTGTTCTCAGTTTTATTTTCATATTCTTGTTTATATGGCCCACCTTTAAAGCTCTTGAATGTCAGAGGGTGGCCTGTGGCTCTAGAAAGTCTGGGTACAAAACATTAATAATGGAGGCATGTACTGTAACTATGTGCTAATAAGGGGTAACGTCCTGTACAATATAAAAATATACCTTTTCAGAATACTATTTCAGTTTTATTCAATGTGCTACTTACCATTTCTTTGTTAAATGTTTAACAAATCACTCAGAAATTATGTGATCATTTTATGTCTAAAGGCCAGGACACACCAAGCTTGCGTCAACTCACGTATGGTTCCATCTGGATCAAAAAGCTGGCCGTGAACACACCAATTGGACAAAAGCTGGTTAAAACAAGAGTGTACGTTCTGCACCTGCATGAGAGGACGTGTCTTTCCTTACCCATGGGTTTTCTTGTTCACAACGGGAAACCAGAACTTCTGACAAACACATGCAAAGCATAAAAAGCAGCATTTAGTACCATTATTACAGTAATTGTTACCTGCAAATATTTTTGGTAATCTAATAATTCATATATTTGCAAATATTAGATTAGATTAGATTAGATTAGATTCAACTTTTATTGTCATTACACATGTACAAGTACAATGCAACGAAATGCAGTTTAGGTCTAACCAGCAGTGCAATAGCAGCAAGTGCAGGATACAGGAATAAGTTATAAAGTGCAGTTATAGAAAAAAATATGGTGATATTTGAGTAATGTAGGAATAATTATTTGAGTAATGTAGGAATATTTGTAAATATTTGAGTAATGTAGGAAAATTGCAGCCAGCCTTTTTGTGTTCCTTTTTGGCTTGACTTTTCCTGCGTCACACTCATGCTTTTCTTCATGCTTTTCTTCATGCTCTTCAGCTGAAGCTGATTCTACATGCTGAATCGGGCCAATGAGCGCCGACTTTAACCAGACGAGAGGCAATATCTGCATCTCAAATGGCACACCA